CGAGCTAAAGCCTCTTTGCTCTCTTTGCTTTTATTACCCTGGAACCTTTTTGTATAAAGCAGAAGGTTTTTTTGTTGTTTTTTTTTTCAAATGGGAGGCCAAAGTTTTTTAAATTTCAAATGCCACTTTTTTCATAAGTCACATTTATCCATGGACTTGCTTGAATTCTGTGGATCTTACATTCACTTGTTTGGGAATATTACATTTAAATGTTCTATTTCACATCTGTAATAGCAATAAGTCTTGTTGTTTTTTCTTTTCTTTTTAACGTTTGTTTATTTTGAGAGAGAAAGAGCACAAGTAGGGGAGGAACAGAGAGAGAATCCAAGCAGGCTCCTTACTTTTGGAGACTTACTATCTAAAACTTCCAAGTCCCGAGATCTTGAAATGTACTTTGAAAGGACATATCTAAGGTCATAATCTTCCTTAGAATTCTGGTGCATAGCATTTTGTCTTTCGTCATTTAGAGATTCAGATGATGTCAAGTCTGATTTTCTTTGTTGTCAGTCTGCTTTTTCCTAGAAATCTGTGTGATTCTATCTTCACTCCTTGGAATTTGACATTTTCAGCTTATCTCTGGTACAGTAGAGATATCTTTAAGTTTTTTTTAAGCAATCTGTACACCCAGCGTGGAGCTTGAACTCACAACCCTGAGATCAAGAGTCGCACACTTCACTGACTGAGCTAGCTGGGAGCCCCAGTAGAGATGTCTTTAAGGAAATTTTCTGCCTGGCATTTGATGAACCCCTTTTAATTTACAGACTCAGGTTCAAAAAAAAAACCTCAAGTTTATTCATTGTAGGGAAATTTTACTGTATTTTATCATTATCTCTACCAGTTCCATTCTTTTTTTTTTTTTTTTTTTAAGATCTTCCATTGTATAGAAATTTAATCTCCTGGAATTATTTCCATGTTATATACATTTTCTTGTGTTGATGTCTTTCCGCATTCTGGAAGATATCCTGACGGTGATACTGTACAATTGAGTTGTGTTTTTCATCAATGTTTATTCTGCTTCCTGTTCTTTTGAAATCTCGGGGGAAGAGGCTAGAAATTTGCGTTTTCTTATTTTTTGCACTTTCTTTTGCTTCTCCTCTGTTTCATAGCAATATATTCATTTGTATCAAGCTGTGTCCTTAGCATGAAGATTTTAAAAGAATTTCTTTTTCCTACATTAATTCAGGAGTAGGATAGGAGAGTTACTCCTCTTGGCTTCCTTTCACTATTGAAAAGTAACCAGGTTTTTCTTGGCATCATGAAAAGTTTTTTTCTTTTAAAACTTAAGAAATTTATCAGTGTGCATCTTGGTTTTAGGTCCTTGCAAAGTTGGGGTAGTGCTGATTACTGTCAAGTTTTGTTTTTTTAACTCTGGAGATGGCTTTTGTTTTGTTTTGGGCTGTTTTCTTGGATAGCAGTTATATTCTTTTTTTTCCCCCTAGTGAAAGTTACAGAAGTTCAGTGTGTAAAACAGATATATGACGGAGCTGTTCTGTTGAAACATTAGTAGGGCAGTGCCCATCTACTCAACGTTCAGTCTCCCTGCTCTGTGCCCCTGTGAGGGAGTTTTGCAGAGCCTAACTAAAACAAACAAAAACCACTGTAATTTGCAACAATTCATGCTGTTTTGCTATTACTTCTTAAGTACCATTTTGTTTGATTGGGATGTTTTCAGGAATGAAATTGACCCCTGAACCTTTTATTTTCCTTTCGAAAATTTTTTTCTTTTGTAAAACGTTTTTATTCTTGTCTCATTAATACTTTCTCTTTTTGTATATGTATCATTGTAATTATTTGGATATCCCTTAGAGACTTGATCCCATTTGAGGTAGTGTTTTAAATTACCTTTTGGTGTACCTGCTATTACAGAATGCACTCCCTGTGTTTAGGGTCAGGGGAATCCTACTAGTGGATCAGTGAGGTGCTATGAAGGGTCCAATCCTTGTCCAATTCTGTAGTGGATCTGTGATGGGCAGGCCGGTTAGGACAGACTTACATTTTTTATTATGTCTGTGTTGCATTGTATTAGAAAATTTAATGTTCTTATGAGCATAAAATAAAATATAATAAATAGCCGCCTGTAATCCGGCCAATCACCCTGGTGGTAACTACTGTTAATAGTTTGGTCTATGTTCTTCCAAACTTCCTGTTGCTTCATCTTCACCGACATTTAGTGCTGTCAGTGTTCTGGATTTTCACCATTCTAAAAGGAATTTGCAATTCCCTAATGATGTATGATGTTGACCATTTTTGTGTGTGTTTATTTGCCATCTGTGTATCTTTGGTGAACTGTCTTTCTAGATCTTTTGCCCATTTAAAAAAAATACGTATTTTTTTTGAGAGACAGAGCCTGTGTACTTGAGTAGGGGAGGGGCAGAGAGAGAGGGAGAGAGGATCCCAAGCAGGCTCTGCACTGTCAGCACAGAGCCTGACACGGGGTTCAGTCCCACCAGCTGTGAGATCATGACATGAGCCGAAATCAGAAGTCTGACACTTAACTGACTGAGCCACCCAGGCACCCCTTTGACACTTAACTGACTGAGCCACCCAGGCACCCCTTTGTGCCTGTTTATAATTGGTTTGTTCATTTTCTTACTGGTGAGTTTTAAGTGCTCTTTTTATATTTTGGATACCAGTCCATTGTGAGTTATGTATTGTTGCTTTTTTTAATGTTTATTTTTTTTTTTTTGAGAGAGAGACACAGTGTGAGCAGGGGCTAGGGAGCAGAGAGAGAGAGAGAGACGGAAACACAGAATCCAAAGCAGACTCCAGGCTCCGAGCTGTCAACACAGAGCCCAGTGTGGGGCTCGAACTCATAATGAGATCATGACTTGAGGCAAAAGTCGGCCGCCTAACCAACTGAGCCACCCAGGCGCCCTTCAGTTAGTTAATGTTTTGCAAAGATTTTCTGCCAGTCACTGGTCTTCCGTTTTCTTTTCTTTTATGTTTATTTCTGAGAGTGAGAGAGACAGAACACAAGTGGGGGAGGGGGAGAGAGAGAGGCAGACACAGAATCTGAAGGAGGCTCCAGGCTTCAAGCTGTCAGCACAGAGCCTGATGAGGGGCTCGAACCCATGGATTGCAAGATCATGACTTGAGCCGAAGTCAGACACTTAACCGACTGAGCCACCCAGGCACCCCCTTGTGTCCCATTTTCTTAACGGTGTTTCCACAGAAGCCTCACCAGAAGCACCTTTAACATTCATATTTCCCGCAGCAGTTTCTTCTAGGCTTTTCTATGGCATGCCTCCAAACTCTTCTGGTCTCTATTCATGACCCAGTTTCAAAGCTTCTTCCACATTTGTAGGTGGTTTTTCAGCCACACCCCATTTCCCAGTACTCAAATCTGTATAATGCTACATATTATCACGTCACATGGAAGTACTATAACTTTTTAAAACGAGTCCAGTTTTTGAACATGTGGGTGTTTTTTTCATTGTTAAAAGCAAAGTGATGGTAAACTTGATTGAATATTTACCTCGGGATAAATTCTAGAAATGAAATTGTGCATCACAGCATATGCACATTTAAAGGTTTTAGTATATGTTTAGTGGCATTCTTAATTCCTAACCTAGGTTGCTGATTTCAAGGCTGGTTTTTATTGTGGTCTGCTATTCTTGGATTAGGATTATTAGTGGGAGATATGATTGAGTTTGATTTCATTTCAAGTTGTAGATCAGTGTTTCTGAAACCTGGTCTTCTGGTGTATGTGAATTTATAGAAACCCTTTCCAAATTCTGGCAGGTGCTCTTACCATGTGTTTTTATTTCTGTAGAAGCTTTCTTGAGTACTTCACTGTGAGGGCCAGGGTATGGCAAGAGCAGAGGGTGGGATGTTGGTAGTTTTGTGTATTTTATGGAAGGAATCCCAAGGACGACTTGCACCTTGTTATAATTGGTGTTGTGCAGCTCTGTTTTTGTCAACCGTGATTTCTTTTTTTTTTTAATTTTGCCTAATTTTTTTAAGTTTATTTTTGAGACAGAGAGAGGCCATGTGTGTGAGTGGGGAAGGGGAAGAGAGAGACTCCCAAGCAGGCTCCACGCCATCAGCGTGGAGCCTGATGTGGTGCTGGATCCCACAAACTGAGATCATGACCAGAGTTGAAATCAAAAGTTGGATGCTTAACCCACTGAGCCACCCAGGCGCCCTGGTGTGCAACTCTTTAGCCATCTTAATTCCATAAGCTAGCTCTACAGATGTATTCAGGGGTAATTGTTTCATCAGTTATTCTAGTGAGACAGCTTTTCCTACCTACTTGTATACTTTTGAATTAAAAATGCTTGTGAAAATATTGGGACTTTTGTCAGATGAAAAAAACCTAGTTTGTCAGATACGTAGATTTAGCAAATATCTTGTGTAAAATAACGTAAATCCCATCAATAATCTAAAATTAGATTAGTGGGCCACCCAGGTGGCTCAGTTGGTTAAGCGTCCAACTTTGGCTTAGGTCATGATCTTGCAGTCTGTGAGTTCGAGTCCCTCATCGGGCTCTGAACTGACAGCTCAGAGCCTGGAGCCTGCTTCGGATTCTATGTCTCCCTCTCTCTCTGTCCCTCCTCTCTTGTGCTCTGTTCCCCCCCCCCAAAAAAAATAAATAAACATTAAAAATAAAATAATAAAATGTAGATTATTTATTGAATTAGCAATGCTTATTTTATGCTGATGTAATGAGCACCATAGAGAATACGAAAGAAGGGCATGGCTATCCTTAACAAAAATTTTACATTATAAATGAGAAAGTATAATATTCACATAAGAATAAAATACTAACCAGTGCTCACTAAGCCCTGCACAGGTAAGGACATATTCATGCAATTAAAATTTGGTTTTAACAGTGTGATCTCAGTCAAGGTGATTTGGAGGAGGAAGTTGGCAGAATTTATCTGAAGTACTTTAATTCATTGTCTCCTCATTTTAGGATTGCATTTTAAAGACGATTTCTGTGATTGAGTGGTCTTTTGGAAGATTAAACCCATTTCAAGAGGACTTGGAGCTGGTCCTCGCCTTGAGGAAGCAGTGGCTTGTTTTCAAGAAGCCACTTCTAATCTGAGGATCTACCCAGCATGCCTAATCAAGGAGAAGACTGCTATTTTTTTTTCTATTCTACATGTACCAAAGTAAGAATTGGCATCTCTAAATCAGTTCTTTCTACAGTTTCTCTAATAAAATTTGATAAGATTTACCCAGTATACTAAGTTTTTATGTTTTGTTTTCCTCAACTGTTTATTGTCTGCTACCTGCTACCATTGTTTAAAAAGAGAATCGCACTCCTGGGAGACTTGCATCGTTCATCCTTGTTTTTTCTCCTCTCGTATGCTCTTCACTGCCCTTCACGTTCTACAAAAGTGGAAAGGTTTACAGCGCATAGGCATCACTCACTGTTCTCTTATTGATAATTAATCTGTTCGGGGCGATTTCAGAATGAGGAGCGCTTTGGCCCAGCTTGCAAACTTTGATTTTACTTACTTTGAATTAAATGAATGTGTGGGTTGTATTATACTTCTAGAAACTATCGTGGGTTGAATTTGACTTTTTTTCTTCAGATTTCCTGCTGAGTCATCAAGCCATTCTTCTAAATACGCTTCTGCAGCATTTTTTGCTTTTTCTGTGTCCAGATTTCCTGTTTTTCTGCTTAATTTTTCTGCAGCTTCATTGAGATCTATCCACTTTTCTGCGCCTTTATGACTAATTCTATAATTGTATATGTTGTTAAAAAAAACCTTTTTTAAAATCATCTTGGTGCTGTGTTTAAAATGATCAGTTTTGAGCAAAGCCCTGATCACATAGCAGGTTGCACAGCAGTAGTGTTCTGTTTAAGATATTACCATTGTATAAAGTATATAATGAAGCATAGAATTAAACTGAAATCCTAATCTATTAACTTTCTGATTTTCCATCAAAAGCTAGTTACACAAGTCAAGATGTATGAAACGGTTTTGAAGAACTGTAAAATGTATTTTTAAAGTGTACCACTTTAAATACTCCCACTTATCTTTTTGAACCCCATCTCTCAGCTTATGTCACTTATGTTATAAAATCAGATGAAGGATACTGTCAAGGAAATTATAAATTTGTTGACCTCAGATTGTTCTTGTCTTCCCCCTGCACTGTTTTCTACCTTGCCTGTCTCCTTACTCCTTTGTGTTTGTCTAGATGCCAGGAAACTGTTACAATGAACATTTCACGTAGGCTCTGTTTTGGTACCACAGTTCTTTTCTGTATTCTCTTTGTTTACAGGGTGACAGCTGTCCATTCCGTCACTGTGAAGCGGCACTAGGAAATGAAACTGTTTGCACATTGTGGCAAGAGGGGCGCTGTTTTCGACAGGTGTGCAGGTTTCGGCACATGGAGATTGATGTAAGGTTTCAGTTTGTACTGTAATATGTAGTCTGGTGTTGTGATGGGCCAATGCAAAATACAGGGGGGAAATGACATTTTATGTAATATGCAGGTTACTTTTTTTTTTTTTTTTGATGAGATAGTGAAATTTCTGTCATAATGCTCACCTAATAACTTGATATTTTGGAGTATTGGTATCATTTTCTAGGAGGCAGTTTGGTAATCTGTCGAAAGTGTAAAAATTTTGTATGTGTCACTGGGGAGTATTTTTGTTTCTATGTTTATTTTAAAACCACCTCAAACTTAGAGGAAAGCTGCAAGTACAGTATAAAACGTTTTTCTGAGCCACTTGGGAGTAAACTGTCACCTCCAAATAACGTTCACAAGTATTTCCTACAAACAAGAAGGACATTCTCCTACATAACCATAATACAGCCATCAAAATGAGAAAATTGGGGCACCTGGGTGGCTCAGTCAGTTAAGCATCTGACTCGATTTCAGCTCAGGTCATGATCTCGTGGTTCATGAGACTGAGCCCCGCATCAGGCTCTGTGCTGACAGCGTGGAGCCTGCTTGGGATTCTCTCTCTCTCCTTCTCTGTCTCTGCCCCTCACCTGCTCTCACGTACACATGCACATGCGCTCTCTCACTCTCTCTCAAAATAAGTAGATATATGTTTTTTAAAAATGAGAAAATTAACATTGGTATATTACCTTCATTTAATCCAGAAACCCCATTCACGTTTTGCCATTGTATCAGTTACATCCATTAATGCAGAAGGAGCAAGTCCAGAATCTAGTGTTGTATGTAGTTGTCCTCGCTCTCATTCTCCCTCAGTCTAAAACAGTTGTTCAGTCTTCTTTACTTTTCATTTGCCTTGACATTTTGGTAGGTATAGGCCAGGTATTTTCTAGAACGTCCTGCAGTTTGGGTTTGTCTGGTATTTCCTCATTACTAACTTCAAGTTATGTATCTTTGACGGGAGTATTAGTTCTTCTCATTGCATGTCATTAGTGACACAGTCCTATAGTCTTTAATTATCCCATTACTGGTGATGTTAAATTAACCCTGATCCCTTCATTAAGGTGGTACCAGATTGCTTCACTATAAAGTTTTTCTTTTTGTAACTAATATGTATTTTGTGGAGAGGTACTTTGAGACCCTGTCATTGCCCCATTTCCTACCAAACTTTCCGTTTTTTCCACTTAGTTACCTATATTTGTGTGAACTCAAGGTTTTCTCTTTTATTCAATGTGTTACAGCTCCATTACTATCATTTTTTTTTATCAAGTTGACCCAGATTTTCCCTTTAAGCTGACTTTTGTGTCCTTTTGATGTTTACATCATTCTTTGAACACCTTTTTGCTTTCTAGCCTAATAAGATTTTTTATTAGGCTCATCCTGTATTTTTCCTCCTCCAGCCCTGGAATCAACCATTTCTCTAAGGAGCCCTGGATTCTATTAGTGAAGAATGCTATATGTATATAGAAATAAGATTTGGGTAGCTCCTGGAGTCTCACTGCTTCCAGGCCTGCAATGGACAGAACAGGGGAGTAGTATATAAGTGTATTCATATAGACACATTTACCTCATTATTTATTTTTTATGTCTGTGTATTTGAATCAAGAGTTCACAAAGATGCCTTCAGTTCACCAGCACTGCAGGGTTTATTTAGTCTAGGCTCTCCTTTTCCATACTTGTAACTCTCTTTTCCAAAAGTAAGAAAGTCGCTTCCCACTGTCCTTAACATCAGCTGATTTTATCAGTCCCCTGGTTCTGTAAGCCAGTGTCATATCACAGCCTCCTCCTTCCTCTCAGGCTCTGACATCACACATGAGGCTGCTGTTCTTCCACAGGGACATCTTGCTCACTTTGTGTTGGTTCCGACAACCCTGTAACAGGCCTTGTTCCTTGCTCCACCGTGAGGACCTCATCTTCACCATGCTTGGACCCCAACATACTGCTCCTCTCCCGCGGATGCCCTTTTCACACCTTTGGTCTCTGATATCTGTGTTGGAGAGCCCTCCTATGTGAGATGCCTACTTTCTCACCCTGCGTGTATTCAGACTCTGTAGCAGGTCCCCACTTGGGAAGAACCTACCTTCCTTATCCTGCTTGGTCATTGCCCATTCTACGCTGGCCCTCCATAAATATACACTCTCTATCCTACCCTGGGATCCCTTCTGCACGGAAGCCTTGCTCACCCTGCTTGGGCTCCATCACTGTGCTGGCCACCCTCCCAACTCCTTCTGGGTTCTGACACCTTAGGCCAGTTCCACCTTGTCACGTGATGCCTTCCTCATTCAGTCAGGCTCCCAACACCCTGCTCTGCGCCACATGCCCAGCATGAATGCCTGCCTCTCATCTCTTGGCCTCACCTAATGCCCTTGGACTACATTGTTTGAGGGGAGGTGGGGAAGGAAGGAAGACTGACCATGCACTTTATATGCCTGGGGTTACAGAGCTACTCCAGGTAGGTTCTAGATTTATGGCCTCTTAACTGCATTCTGTGCTGCCTATCTTCCAAAGAGCAGGGAATTCACTAAATAAATTCAGAGAAATACTCTGCAGCTTTTGAAAATTAATGTAGTACTGGCAAAGTATAAATTGGCACAACTCCCTAAAAGGCGTGGTGTGTCAAGAGTCTCTAAGAACATCTACATTTAGAGGGAAACCTGAGTGACTCAGTTGGTTAAGTGTCACACTCTTGGTTTTGGCTCAGGTCGTGATCCCACAGTTTGTGGGTTCAAGTCCCACTTGTCTTCCATGCTGACAGCACGGAGCCTGTTTGGGATTCTCTCTGCCTCTCTCTCTCTCCCGTCCCCTGCTCATGCTCTCTCTGTCTCTCTCAAAATAAATAAATAAACCTGAAAAATAAATTTACGTTTAGATATACTCTAGAACTCATCAGGAGACTCAGCATATAGTTGTATTTCGTGGCTAAGATTTATTACAGTGATGGGGAGGTACACTGATTATAAATGAAAAAAAGACACAGGCAGAGTCTGGAGGAATCCGTGTGCGGTTTTCTTTTATGATCTCCCTCTCATGACGGGTCACACAGAGCACACACTTCCCTGGCAATGAAAGTGCAGCACTACGTGTGGGATGTTCCTGCCCAGGGAAACCCATTAGAAACTCAGCATCCAAGATTTTTAATGGGGCTAATCATGTAAGCACCCTCTACCTATCACATTCCAGAACTCTAGACTCCCAGAAGGATGGCAGCCTAAGACATGTTATTTGCACAGTCTGGGCACCGTGATCAATTAACTGACTAGGAACATTCCAACAGCCAAGTTCCCACATGCCAACCAAGGGCCAACTTAGCAAGCAGGCTACCTAAGGATAGCAGTCTTTGGGCTGTATCTTCAAAAATACTGTATGCTGGGTTTTGTTTTGTTTTGTTTTGTTTTGTTTTGTTTTTGTGTTTTTAGCTTTGTGTCATCTGTGCTCACATGTGCAAAAGAAGATAGATGCAGAATTACTCATAATTTGTAATGATAAGATATGTGAAATAACCTAATCCTCATTTAAAATAAATTTGCTACAATTAGGAGCATCTGGGTGGCTCGGTCGGTCAAGCATCTGGCTTCAGCTCAGGTCATGAGTCTCATGGTTTTGTAGGTTCGAGCCCTGCGTCAGGCTCTGTGCTGACAGCTCGGAGCCTGGAGCCTGCTTCGGATTCCGTGTCTCCCTCTCTCTCTGCTTTTGCCCCATTTGCACTCTGTCTCTCTCTCAAAAATAAATAAAACATTAAAAAAATTTTGTTAATAAAGTAAATTGCTACATTCATACAGTGGAGTACTGGACAGCTGTTAAAATTTTTTAAAAGGGAAACTTTATTGATAAGGAAAGATTGGGATATATTGTCAGTGAAAAAGCAAGGGGGTAGAATAAGGTGCATAATATGCTACCATTTGGTAAAAAAAAAAGAGAAGAATTTATATTTGTTTTTCATTTGCATACGTATTTTTAAAATCTCTGGGGGTATAAAAGAGAAACTTAAAACATGGGTCGTCAGGGAGTGGGGACAGGAATGGAAAGGAGTGTTTTTACTGTAACCCCCTCTACATGCAGTTGATTTTTATTATTCATGGGTTCCATGTTTGCAAATTCACCTACTTGCTAAAATTTATTTGTAACCCCCAAATCAATACTTGTGGTGTTTTATGGGCCATCTGCAGACGTGTGCAAAGCATTGAAAAACTTGAGTCACGTGACCTACACACTCCCAGCTGAGATGGAACAAGGTGACACTCTGCTGGCTTGTTTTAGTTCTCATACCATTAGCAAGTGTCCTTTTTGTGGTCTGTTTAAAGCCACGTGTTTTGCATTTTTGTCCTTTTTCTTGGTGATTTTGCTGATTAAAATGGTTCCCAAGTGTGGTGCTGAAGTGCTGTGTAGTGTTACTAAGTGCAACAAAGTTCTTAAAGTGCCTTATGTAGAAAATACCTGTATTAGATAAGCTTCATTCAGTTGTGAGGTATAGTGCCCTTGGCCTTGAGTTCTGTGTTAATGAATACACTAAAAAAGGTGTCTTTAAACACAAACACCCGTTCAACCGTGCTACATTGATTATTTGATAAAAATGTGACCAGAAACTTGCAGGAACCTGACTAACTTAAACTCTGTATTTCCCTTAGGAGCAGTCGGGTTCACTATTAGCTAATTTAGTATTCATAGTGACTTCATAGAATTAGCTGTATGTCTTTGGACCATGTGCTGTATTACCTTTTAAATATTAAAAAAAAATTCTGTAGGAGAATGTTACTAGGGAGGATCTGTTGCTAAGTGAAAAGTGGGTACACTTATATGGAATACTTTTAAGTTTTTAAGTATACATGTAGACATTTATAATTTTTCTTCTTCTTTTTTATTTTTAAATAATAAACTCTAGACCCAACATGGGGCTTGAACTCATGACCCCAGAATCCAGAGTTGCTCTACCAACTAAGTCAGCCAGGCACACCTTTAGTTATAGATACAGATATAGATATACATTTGGAGAGAGAATTCTGTATTTCTTTTTGGGTAATAGCATAGCAAGCATTTATTACCATTTTCCAAGTGGTTTTCATCGTGTATTACTTTTCACTTAGAAACAAAATCCAGTGGGGTGCTTGGGTGGCTTAGTTGGTTAAACATCCAGCTCTTGGTTTCAGCTCAGTTCTTGATCTCGAGGTCCATGTGTTCGATCCCCACATTGGGCTCTGTGCTGACAGCTCAGAGCCTGGAGCCTTCTTCACATTCTGTGTCTCCCTTTTTCTCTATCCCTCTCCCGCTTGTGTGTTCTCTCTCTCTCTCTCAAAGATAAATAAACTTTAAAAAAATTTTTTTTATTTTAACATGTTATTTTATTTTTTAAGAGACAGAGAAGGACAGAGCACAGGCAGGGGAGGGGCAGAGAGAGAGGGAGACACAGAATCAGAAACAGGCTCCAGGCTCTGAGCTGTCAGCAGAGAGCCCGCCGCGGGGCTTGAACTCATGAACTGCGAGATCATGACCTGAGCCAAAGTCAGACACTTAACCGACTGAGCCACCCAGGCGCCCCATAAATAAACATTTTTAAAAAAAGAAACAAAATCCAGTAAGTGTGTTAAACAGAGCAAGTAAGTGTCATGTGACTATATACATGTGTCATGTATATAGAGGATATCATTACAGAAGTCATCCAGTAATTTGAAAACTGCTTCCAGGAAAGAAGTAAAAACTTAAGCAAAGACAGACCCAGGAGCATTAGGTTTTGCCTTAAGGAAGGAGTAATTGAATAATTGTTACTTCTGTCTAAAAGAGAATAGTACTATTATGCTTCCCTTTTGCATGTGCCAGGAGACTAATACATTCTGTCCATTTCTTTGAAAGGTAAAGGTTTTTGCTGTACTGTTTATTTTTTTTAATTTTTTTTAATGTTTTTATTTATTTTTGAGACAGAGAGAGACAGCATGAATGGGGGAGGGGCAGAAAGAGAGAGGGAGACACAGAATCAGAAGCAAGCTCCAGGCTCTGAGCCATCAGCCCAGAGCCTGACGCGGGGCTCGAACTCACGGACCGCGAGATCGTGACCTGAGCTGAAGTCGGACGCTTAACCGACTGAGCCACCCAGGCGCCCCTTTGCTGTACTGTTTAAAAATAGGTAATTATAGGGGCACCTGGGTGGCTCAGTCAGTTGGGTGGTCCAACTTCGCCTCAGGTCATGATCTCATGGTTCATGAGTTTGAGCCCTGCATGGGGCTCTGTGCTGACAGCTCAGAGCTTGGAGCCTGCTTCAGATTCTGTGTCTCATTAGCTCTCCGCCCCTCCCTGCCCTTGTGCTCCGTCTCTCCCTCTCAAAAAATAAATTAAAAATAATAAATAAGTTAATTAATTAAATAAAACAAAAATAGGTAATTATACATGTGGCAGTAAACTCAGGACATCAGTTTTGTAAGTACTTTTTTTTTTTCTAACCGAAATGCTTTTCAGAGATGTTGAGCTAATTTTCATTTCCATTATCAGTACACAGGGCTGTATGATTCTTCCACATTCCCACTGACACAGTGTATTATCAAATAATTTCTCAAAATCGTCAATTTTTATCTTTGCCCTTTTTGCTACATTTAAGGATCTTTTTATAATGGTAATTGTTTTTGTTTCTCTCTCCCATATTTTTAGCTTTCTGAAGCAATGCTGCTATTCTTTCCTAGAATTTTTTTTAATTTATTCTTGAGAGAGAGTGAGCACACCTGTGTGCATGCTCGAGGGGGAGAGGGGTGGAGGGAGAGAGAAAAAGAGTCTTAAGTAGCCTCCCTGCCCAGCACAGAGCCCGATGCAAGGCTCCACCTCACAACCGTGAGATCGTGACCTGAGCCGAAATCAAGAGTCAGATGCTGAACCAGCTGAGCCATCCAGGAGCCCCACTCTTCCTACAGTTTTAAACCTTAGGTTGCTTATTATGATGAGCGATCCGACATAATCCAACAGATGCAGTTCTGTGTTCCCCCTTTATCTCTTGACTGTCACCAACTGTGCCCTCGAAACTTCTCACTAACCTGACTGCTCTACCACAGAGAAATTTTACCTGTTTTTTTTTTGTTTTGTTTTGTTTTTTAATTTTTTTAAATTTTTTTTTTTCAACCTTTATTTATTTTTGGGACAGAGAGAGACAGAGCATGAACAGGGGAGGGGCAGAGAGAGAGGGAGACACAGAATCGGAAACAGGCTCCAGGCTCTGAGCCATCAGCCCAGAGCCTGACGCGGGGCTCGAACTCACGGACCGCGAGATCGTGACCTGGCTGAAGTCGGACGCTTAACCGACTGCGCCACCCAGGCACCCCAGATTTTACCTGTTTTGATCTCTACATCAGTGCAGCCACACAGTGTGTACTCTTCTTGTGTCTGGCTTCTTTCCTTTTGCACTGTCATGTTAAGTGTAGCAGTGGTTTATTCCTTCTGTCTACTGGGTAGAGTGCTCTTGTATGAAAAAACCACAGTGTATTTATCCATTCTGGTGTTTGTGTACATTTGGTTTTCCATTTTGGAGCTGTTAACAAACAGTATTGTTTTGAACACACGTACACATCTAGCGTATGCATTAGCAGTAATGTATGTATTTCTGCCGAGCATATATCCTGTGACCCAGCAGTTTATTCTTGATGTGAGGGTATTTCTTTTCTCGTTCCCCTTCAGAAGGGTGCGGTAGCTTGTGAAGGAAAATACCAGTCCTTAGTGTGTTACATGTGCCTTCCTTGGAGAAGTCACAAAAGGAAAAATCAATCTCAAAGCTATGAACTCGCAGCTTCAGATAATAACTGCAGTTTAGTGAGTCCTTTCTACGTGCTAAGTGTTTCGTGTACGTTATTTCATTTAATCCTTACACGAAACTTAAATAGCTACTCTTATTGCCATTTTATAGCTGAGGATACTAAGACTTAGAGGCATTAAATTACCTGTCCACCATCACATGGCCAGTATGTAGCATAATGGTATCTTTGATTCCATAATCTTAACTAATATATTATCCTGCATCTGTAAGTTAAGTGTAGGCATTGAGAGGTTCTAGGATGAGACAACAGCAGAGGAACTACTTCCCTACCCACTTCCTCTCCCCATCAAGCATGAAGAGCGTCACTTTCAGCAACCCTCTTGCTCACAGTCAGCTCACATACCTCAGAGTTTTGAAGCCTGTGATGAACTTTATTGTTCAGAAAACAAATGACCAAAGTAACACAGGTCACAACTCGTTTTTTATTTGAAAACAATGTGTTTTTTCCTCTAGAAAAAACGTAGTGAGATTCCGTGTTACTGGGAGAATCAGCCAATGGGATGCCAGAAGCTGAACTGCGCTTTCCATCACAACAGAGGACGTTACGTCGATGGCCTTTTCCTACCTCCAAGCAAAAGTGAGCTGTGTTTTTAGTTTTAAAAGAATAGTTACTATTTAGTGAACACCTGCTGTGTGCAGTACATAGAGTACTTTACATACATGGCCTTTTAGTCCTGCAAGAGAACAGTTTTATTTCCACCTTATAGATGAGGGAGCTGAACTCTTCTTTAAGGTTAAATGACTTACACCTAGATAGCCCTGCTCATAAACCGGTAAGTATCATAAGCTTTTGTCGCCAAAAGCCATGCTGCCTCACAAATGTTTCTCGGCATGACAGTTTAGATTACGATAGCTTCATTTCCCATTTTCTTATCAGACCCAATGAGTTTTCCAAAAGAAACTTGATTCTCCAGGCCAGGGTTCGACAGAACTGGCCCCCCACCTGTTTTATAAAATAACCTTCTATTGGAAGGAAGCCATGCCCATTCGTTCAAATATTTTCTATGGCCAGATTTTATGCTCCTGCTGCAGAGTTGAATAGTTGAGACACAGTAGTCTGCAAAGCCTGAAATACTTACTGTCCCAGCTGTTTACAGAAAGGGTTTGCCAACCCTGCTTAGGTGATTAAAATTTGATGGCTACACATTTTGGCCCCCATTTAAGAGAAAAAAGTGGCTTTGCTCCTCTCTGGTTTGGTTCAGAAGTGTTATGTCTACTATCTCTTATTTGCTGAGCAAAAAGCCTCAAATTTCAGTATTAAAATTAAATGTCTAGAATTTGCAACCAGTTTTATACGTCTAGCCTCCAGATTAGTCTGTGTTTTGAACACCTACTTTGAGTGTGTTTATGTACGGTGAGGAGTTACTAGCTAAAAGCCCTGTTTTCCCTCCCTGGGAGTGTGCAACTTAATTGTGAAAATGGGGAAATCGGGTATAAAAGGACATAAGTGCTCATAAGGAAAATGCACCAAACTTCTATGCGGTTGGAGATTTTTTGATGAAGTGGGACTTTATCTTCTAGTTTTAACTTCTGACTGATGTTGTGTATCTAGCTGTGCTCCCCAGTGTGCCTGAGTCACCAGAAGAGGAAGTGAAGGCTAACCAGCTCACAGTTCAACAGAACAAACTGTCTGTCCAGTCTAATCCCTCCCCCCAGCTGCGAAGTGTTATGAAAGTAGAAAGTTCGGAAAATGTTCCCAGCCCCACCCATCCACCAGTTGTAATCAATGCTGCAGATGATGATGAAGATGATGATGGTGAGTTTTCAGCTCTTTCTTTAAGGCAAATAAGTGACTGGGGGTCATTTAGTGAGTTAGAAATCAGAATGAGAGCCTGTTGTTAATTGTACATTTGCCTTACATGTTGATACATAGATCAGTTTTCTGAGGAAGGCGATGAAAGCAAAACGCCCATCCTGCAACCAACTCCCGAAGTTCACAACGGATTACGAGCAGCTTCTGCCCGCAAACCTGGGGTCAGTTTGAAGCAAGGTAAGAAGAGGCCGTCTTGTTGCTGGTGCCTTCTCATGAGTCTTGCAGCACTGTTGAATGTGCCCAAACTCTTTTAAATAACTTGGGAATGAATCACGATCACCGCAACCTCTTTCTCCTCCGCCCCCACTGTACGCACAAGCAGATTTACACATACTTTCTCTTATTTGTCCAGAAAACATTTGCCTGCTTGCTGTGCACAAATAAAACACAGAGGGCGTGAGGTGTTCTTTCCTCATGTGGTTTCTGTTTGGGTTTCTCAGGTGAATGTTTGAATTTTGGAATAAAAACCCTTGAGGAAATTAAGTCAAAGAAAATGAAGGAAAAATCCAAGAAGCAAGGTGGTAAGTCATCAGTTTTGACACGGGTGGTCAGATTTTACTACAGGAGAATAACAAGAACCTTCTGATGAGGACACTTGGCAGCAGCCAGAATGAGCACATGTGGTTTGTTTGAAGTAAAGCACAGACTTCTTGAAATCAGGGCGGCTTTTTAACTCAGAGCTAGACGTGGACAACCGTGTACTGGGAAGAACTGCTCTGTCTTGAGAAAGACAACTCCACAGAATGGCATATAAATCACACTGAGGGGAGAAAAACTTTATTTTGAATTATTTGAATTCTTCTCAGGAGCTGTTGTCTTCTAGAGCTTGCCTCAGCCCGGTTGGCCTATATTTCCGACCCTAAAAACCACAGATCCAGTGTGAAAAGTAGTATTTACAGAGGATCAAATGGTTGGTTCTAAGTACTCCCTTGCTAAGGCTTGTTCTTGGAGTTGTGTTTTGCAGATGATTAAAAGACAGATTTTAGAAGGTTGAGTTGACACACTTGGTGGCTGGTGTGCTTCTGAGGTTCACTTTAGGAGCTAGCCTTCTTGGTAAATAAAAGTAGATTCAGTGCCTGAGTCGCTGGAAACAATTTTATATTTTATTTTTACATTGTGACCAAGGCAGAGAAGAAATAGGGATTCTCTCCCCTCTCTTGCCCCACCCTAATTCACCAAAGGCAACTAGGTTTGCCTCTACAAGACTGGCCCGTAGTCCTCCAGTGGTCTGTGTTGTACTTAACTGGTCACAAAAACAGAATTTCTTGGCTTGTAATGGCTTTATTTTTTCCTAAATTATTTGCTGCTCTCTGACTTGCTTTATTCAGAAGGTTCTTCCGGAGTTTCCAGCCTTTTACTCGAACCTCAGCCCATTCCTGGTCCTGAAAAAGAGAATGTCCGGACAGTAGTGAGGACAGTAACTCTTTCCAGCAAACAAGGTGAGATATAGGTCGGTCTGGGTTGAGAGTTGTCAGGCTACTACTACCGTATAACTGAGAGAGCTAGGTCCTAGGGTGTAGTGTACCTTCGATGGATTTGCAGGAAGACTTTAGTATGTTGGTCACATATAAGGATGAGAAGAAAAATCAGTGCCTTTGACTCTTACTTATAAAAGGTTAAAATTCTTGTTCAAGCAGCTCTCACATTTATGTATGTTTCATTTTTACATTTACCGTTTACCTGTATCCATTCAACAAATTTATTGACTGCCCATCGTGAGTAAAGAACTATAATAAAATCTTTCAGCTGTAGAAAAATGGAAGTCTTGGGGCGCCTGGGTGGCTCAGTCGGTTAAGCGTCTGATTTCAGCTCAGGTCATGATCTCACAGTCCTTGAGTTCGAGCCCCACGTCGGGCTCTGTGCTGACAGCTCAGAGCCTGGAGCCTGCTTCAAATTCTGTGTCTCCCTCTCTCTCTGCCCCTCCCCTGCTCATGCTCTGTCTCTCTCTGTCTCAAAAATAAATAAAAATATTAAAAAAAAAAAATGGAAGTCTTTTCTCTTAATAGTTTTAAATGTGGTAAGAGATAATGACTTAAGTAAGTGTAGTGTAGATACATTTAAATGTGCTGTTGAAACAACAAAGAATTAGAAGAAAGAGAGCTCACTTTTTGCTGGTAATCAAAGTTCTGTACAAGGGTTAGCAATGGAGTAGAGTGTGGTTTCATTGAGCATATCGAGGTGCACAAGCAAAAAGAAGAGCTTGGGTTTTATAATCAGTTGGTCAGAACACAGCCTGTGTTCATATGCTTGGCTACTGTTAGAATTAGGACTGTGTTATTAATTCCCTTTGGGCTGCGCATTTGGCTATTTAAATTATTATTTAGTAGGGCACCTGGATGGCTTAGTCAGCTAAGCACCCGACTCTTTGTTTTGACTTAGAGGTCATGATCCCATGATTCATGAGTTCGAGTCCCTCATCAGGCACTATGCTGACAGCGCAGTCTGCTTGGGATCCTCTCTCTCTCCCTCTCTCTCTGCCCTTCCCCTGCTCTCACTCTCAAATAAATAAACTTTTTAAAAAATTATTTAATAGGTTAAATCTTTTTTTCCCAATGAGATATAGTCTTTTTTTTAAATAATTAATTTATTTTTTAATTCCGGTGAGATATAGTCTTAATACTGAGACCTGACTTTCAAGAGACTTCCTGGGTGGACTTATCAGAGCATATGTTGTAACCCATTATTAGTTACTGAATACAGAAAAATGGACTAATGGTAGAGAAATCCTGTTTTTGCCATTTCAGGAGAAGAACCCTTGGTAAGATTGAGTCTAACCGAGAGACTGGGAAAACGAAAATTTTCAGTAGGTGAGATAAATTTGGGGCAGATCCTTTGTGGTTTTCTGTTTGTGCATTAACATGATATGTCCTCCAGAACTCCCTTTGCATGAACATCCTGTCGATACTGATTTGCTGGTCCTTCTGAATTCTTGGCTGCAAGAACTTACAGAATTTCTTGATGTTTTTCACGTATGCGTTAATACCTTTTATTGATTACAGAAATTTGTAGTGTTACAATTTAGACTATAACCAGCTTTTTAGAAGGTACTGTGTTGAAAAAACAGTAAAGAAGATATCTCTTTGTTTCTATGGACAGATTGGAACTTGAGTTTTTTAGCTAAAAAATACGACTTTTTATTTAAATGTCAGCATACATGCAAACTTTGTGATTTTATGGTTTCACATTTAAATTACAAATGAGAATGGAGAGAAAAATCCTACCTTGTGTCTAGTCTCTCCAGTTTCTAATGGGACCCTGCAAAGATGATACCTTCAGTCAGGCAACCTGAAAAACAACGTTCAGCTGGTGACACGTAGACACCTTGTGTAGAGCAGTACAAGACAGCAAACCAGGGGGCAGGAAACCTGGTTCAGGTCTTGGCTCTATCACTAATTGGTGCCTTCAGTAACCTACAGAATCTTTCATAACCTTAGATTTCTTATCTAGAAGAGAGGGCTATTTAGTCTTCAGAGTCTTCATGTCACAGGAAAATGTAATGATTGCTTTGCTGTTCACCTAATCACCACAGGTGCATTTAACCCCAGATATGCCTAGAATTCAGCAGTTGGCCAAATAAGATTTTTGTTTGTACGTGTTTTTGTTTTTGTTTTTTTTCCCATATTCCTAATTCTGAATTTTGGCCTTAATCAGGGCTTATCATTCAGGGCCATTTGTAGTTTTAGTCTATTATTTGGTAGGTGTTGATTTGTGTGTTCTAATTTTTTGTTCCTTATTTTTTCTTTCTGCTACCTTTGTATTCTCTAACACTGAATTCTAAGGAAGCTAGTGAATGAACACACCATATAAACAGAAAACTTAACAATTACTCTGTGTTGTCTGTTTGCTTATAGTTCTTTACCTTGTTGAAGATGGATTTAAACTCTTAAACTAAGTTCTGTGTGTTTGTAGGTGGTGACAGCGATCCTCCATTAAAGCGTAGCCTTGCACAGAGGTTAGGGAAGAAAGTTGAAGCTACAGAAACAAACACTGACAAAGCACCAAAGAAAGGTACCTTCATTCTAATACACGTGTGCGTGTGTGCGTGTGTGTGTGTGTGTGTGTGTGTGTGTGTAATCATGACGCTTCTCTCTTGTAATGTTATCAAGGATGGTTTGTATTTTTTGTGGTTGTTGTTCAGGTAAATCAGATTATCTTGTGTCTGTATTCAACAGCAAACATTTGAGTGTTTACTCTGCTAGATTCTAGGTAGATGCCACTGGATAAAATAAATACCATCACAGTCCTCAGAAGTTTATAGTATAATGGCAGATGGGAATATTTCTATATATTGTGATAAATTCTGTGACAGAAAAAGTACACGGTGTTGGGCACCTGGGTGCCTCAATCGGTTATGTGTCCGACTCCTGCCTCCCACACACCCCCATATAAAGCTTTTTAAGCCATTGTAGAGCCTTTGGGCTTAGTAGCAATCCATGGGAAGGTTATGAAGGAGAATCAAAAGCTCAGATATGCATTTTAGAACCATCACCCTGCCTAAAATACGGAGAAAGATTAGAAGGAGATAAGAATGCTGTCCAGAATATTAGTTAGCAGGATGTTAAAATAATGTGGAGGAGAGGAGTTAGTGGCATAGATATAGTGGTCCTGGAAGTTGGTACGGAGAGATATGGACTAACTTGAGGATGTTTGGGAGTTAGAGTGATTACCTAGTTGAAGTTCTATTTATGGAAAGAAATCAAGGTTGGAATTTTTTTTTCCTTTTATGATTTAGCAATGAAACACTGATGTTAATTACTAAAAAAAAAAAAAAAAAAAATCTTTTTTTTATTGTGTTTAGTTTTAACTTCTCTCTCTTTTTTTAATGTTTATTTTTGAGAGAGAGAGAGAGCATGAGCAGGGAGGGGCAGAGAGAAAAAGGGACAGGAAATCTGTAGTGGGCTCTGCAATGACAGCACAGAGCCTGATGCGGGGCTTGAACTCAACGAACCGCAAGACCATGACCTGAGCCAAAGTTGGACGCTTAACCAACTGAGCCACCCAGGTGCCCTCCAAGAGGCTTTGATGGGTAGCTGTTCTTATTTAGAGTCTTCCTTGCATTCTCAGAGCGAGTAGAAGTTATTCTTTTTCTATGCAGCTATACCCTTTTTCTCCTGGCCTATTGATCATATTGAAAATTTTCATAACTAAGAAGCCTATTTTAAAATAGAGTTGAGGGGCACCTGGGTGGCTCAGTCATTTGAGCATCCAACTTCAGCTCAGGTCATAATCTCACTATCCATGAGTTTGAGACCCCCGCCGGGCTCTGTGCTGACAGCTCAGAGCCTGGAGCCTGCTTCGGATTCTGTGTCTCCCTCTCTCTCTGCCCCTCCCCCACTCATGCCCCCTCTCTCTCTCTCTCTCTCTCTCTGTCAGAAATAAATAAACATTAAAAAAAAATTTTTTTTAAATAAGTAAAATACTGGGGCGCCTGGGTGGCGCAGTCGGTTAAGCGTCCGACTTCAGCTCAGGTCATGATCTCGCGGTCTGTGAGTTCGAGCCCTGCGTCGGGCTCTGGGCTGATGGCTCAGAGCCTGGAGCCTGTTTCCGATTCTGTGTCTCCCTCTCTCTCTGCCCCTCCCCCGTTCATGCTCTGTCTCTCTCTGTCTCAAAAATAAATAAACGTTAAAAATAAATAAATAAATAAAATTAAAAAAAATAAAATAAAATAAATAAGTAAAATAGATTTGAGGGATGGGAGCCTTTTGATGCCACTAAGACTTTAGAAGGCTGTACAATAACAAAATTATTTCCCTGAATTCAGTAGTTTTTGCTTTTCAGATCTAAGAAAAAAAATTTTTAAGCTTTCTGGAATATTCTAGGGAATTCATGATTCACATAGGTCTGTTTTGTGGAAAAGAAAAATTTTAAGATCTTAAGAGGGTTTTTTTGTTTGTTTTTTAAGAATTTGCATTAGAAGAGAAGCATAAGCCCAATTTGTAAACTTTGGGGGGAAAAGTTCTGGGGCACCTGGGTGGCTCAGTCAGGTGTCCAACTCTTGATTTCAGCTCTGGTAATGATCCCAACATCATGGGATCAAGCCCTGTGTCAGGCTTTGCATGGAGAATGGAGCCTGCTTAAGATTCTCTCTCCCTCTTGCCCACTCACGTGCACATGCTCTCTCTCTAAATTAAAAAATAATAGTAATAATAATAATGAAGAAAGTCTGGGTTCAACTTTTTTTTTCTTTTTTCTTTACAGTTCACGTTTCCAAGTCTCTGAAGGAGCGATTAGGCATGTCAGCTGGTCCAAACAGTGAGGAGGCAACAGGTAAGTAAACTCTAAAACCAGCTTTTGTTATTTTTTTTTCCTTGCCGTAACAATCTAAGTAATTAATTACTCACTGGTACGAATCCTCTTCTTAAAAGATGGCAAAATCATTAGTTCACCATAGCATTAGTAGTAAGAAACTGGAAACCACCTAAATAGCCAACAAAAAGAAATCCAGTTCAATTAAGGTAGTTATGTACTAACATAATTATTGTCATAAGTCATGTTTTAACAATAATGATGTGGAAAATTTCTCACATTATATTGAATGAAGAAAGGTTACAAAAGAACACGTAGTGCTTTTGACTTTTTGATGTAGGGTAAGAACCTTATTTTAAGGGAGTGATGAAATTTATTTTCTTATTCTAGAAACTTATTCTCGGGAGTAGCATCAGTATATATGAGATGACTCCAGTTTTGTAAAGATAAAAGTATATGCCTACAAAGAACACTGCAAAAAATACACCAAAATATTAACATTTGTTTTATTTGGGTGTTGAGGTCTTAAGTATTTTAATTTTCTTCCTTATATTGAGATTTTAATTTTTAAGTAATCTCTACACCCAACATGGGACTCAAACCCACAACCCTGAGATCAAGACACACATGCTTCACTAGCTGAGCCACCCGTAATTTTTAAACCTTTTAAATTTGAAAGTCTAACTACTTAGCACATACATGTATACAGTTTAATGAATAGTAAAATGAACATGTACTCTAGTCCTTCAGCTTTTTTATACATTGCTAGATTCAGTTTGATGTTTGGTTGTTTTTTTTGTTTGTTTGTTTCTTTTTTTTTTAAGTACTCTCTGTACCCAAAGTCGGGCTCAAACTCTCAACCCAGAGAGCAGGAGTTGCACACTCTACTGACTGAGTCAGCCAGGCGCTCCTCACTTTGATGCTTTTTAGTTTTTATATCTGTTTATGAATCGTGTTGGCATGTGCTCTTTTTTCATACTGTCTTCATCTGGTTTGTGTGTTAAGATTTTGCCAGCATCATAAAAAGGGAGTCTGATGTCAAACATTATTACCCTTGTAAAGAACCTGAATTTATTCTTCAGAAACTTTTAGTTGGGATTTTCTTTACCCTTTCCTACTATGCTGTGACTTTAGTACGGTGGCTCTAAACGTGGAACTTTTTGTTCATTCAGACCAGTATTCAGGTGGGCCCTTCAAATCTAAGGACTTACCTTTTTTTAGTTCTAGAAAACATTCTTCCAATTTCTTTGAGTATTCCTTTCCCACCCTTCTTTTTAGTTTTTTCTTTGTGGAATTCTTACTAGACAGAGGTTGGAACTTTTGGACATAGGCTTCTCATGTGTTTTAATCTTGTCTTCATATTCTCCATTCCTTTGGGTTTTGGGGTTTTGCCTCACCTTCTATGGTCTTTGCTTGGCTTTATTTTCTAGGTCAGGAATATAGTAAATATTTTAGGCTTTGCAAAGACTTGTGGTCTCCATTGCAACTACTCCACCCTGCCGTTGTGGTGTGAAAGCAGCCTTGTACAATATGTAAATGCGTCCGTGCAGCTATGTTCTAATAAAGTTGTATTTATAAAATTGAGATCATGGCCACATTGGGCCCAGCAACTATAGTTTGTTAAACCTGTTCTAGATGGCTGATTTTTGACCAGGTTGGTGGGTTTTTTTTTTTTTATTAGTTCCTTCTGTTGGATTTATTTTTGCACTTGTGTTTTTGTTTTCCAAGACCCTTTTTTGTTCTCTGATTTCTCCGTCTTTTATAGCCTGATTTCAGGCTGCTCTGGAGTTTCTAATTTGAACCTTTTAAAAAATGTGTGAGTATATTATTTGGTCATCTTCATCGCTTCTCTCTGTTTTGGTTCACTGTTTTTTTTAATTTATTCTTTTAATTTTAGAGAGTGCACAAGCAGAGAGAGGAGAGAGGAAGAGAGAATCTTAAGCAGGCTCCACGCTCAGTGCAGAGCCAGACATAGGGCTCTGTCCCCCAACGCTGGGATCATGACCTAAGTCCAAATCAAGAGTCAGACACTCAACCAACTGAGCCATCCACCCAGGCGTCTCTGGTTCACTTTTAATGTTACTGCTTTTTCATAGCTGTAAGTTCCTAGCCTGGGTTTCCTGTGTGGGTTCTAACCAACTTGTCCTCAGGTGATCCTCCCTCCTGACTGGGAGACACAAGTAAGGTCCGCCTAAGTGGGGAAGGTGTACTGAAAGGCAGTTGTGTGGGTTGCAGGCTAGAAGACTGGGGGCTCATACCATTGCCACAGTAAGAAGTTTCTTTACTTTCAGAGCACAGCCACTTTCTTTCCTTCCCTAGCTGTACTTTTTCTTCTTGTCCCCTGTTCTTTTTCTGCTTGTCATTTGTTTCATCTTCTCCCTTCAGCCCCGACCTCCTAATGTGCTCCCCTCCCCAGCGGATTCTCCTCGTTTTAGGGAGCAGTTCTCAGGAGAAGGTCATGACTGGTCCAGCTGTTCTATAAGTCATCCTTAAATTTCTTTTTTCCTTTTTTTTTTTTTTTTAAGTTTAATCATGAAAGTGCCTTTTTTTTTTTTTTAAGTTTATTTATTTTGAGAGAGAGAGCGTGTGAGCGTGAAAGCAGGAGGGTTAGAGAGGGAGAGACAGAATCCCAAGTAGACTTCACACTGTCAGCACAGAGCCCAATGTGGGGCTCAGTCTCACAAGCCTTGAGATGATGACCTGAGCTGAAACCAAGAGTCGGATGCTTAACTGACTAAGCCATCCAGGTGCCTCCCATCCTTACGTTTCTACCCACTGTTGCTTTTCCTGCTAGTTTGGCGGGTTTTCTTTGGCGGGTTTCTGCTGGGAAGAACAGATCTCACTCCTACAGGTTTTTTTTTTTGTTCTTTTTCTGTTTTTCTGTAAATTCAGACAGCTGCTGTCTTATCTCAGAAATCCCTCAAGATTTATGCTCTGCCGGTGGTAGCCTTGTTTTCCAGCACTGTGGATTTCTTCTACTTTTATTATCTTCTCTGTCGTTTTGATAAAATGTCGGTAGAGTGGGGAAACAAGGTCTTCGTGTCCCCGTTCACGCGCTCCCTTGGAGTGGTAATTCTGAGATCAGCCCACTGTCTTCAAATGGAAGAATTTGTATTCGAGAAACTTAAGGAAGCGATTCAGTATCTGTTTGAGTGCTGTCTATGTACAGCTACTGTACTGACATATTTCAGATAACTAAATATAGCCCCTTTTCATGAAGTATCTATCTGGTGTGGTTGGAAATACACACACTTGAAGTACTGTGTGAGCAGTGCTATGATCAGAGAAATCAGCTAGATTGGAGGGTGTCAGGTTCTAAACTGAACTCAGTTAAAACTAACTAGGCAAGCAGGAGAATGAGACCAGTAGGGAATATTCTGTGTAGAAGGGACGGCACATTCAAAGGTTCAAAAGGTGAAACCAAGTGTGATGTGTTCAAGGTTGTTAAAGGATATTTTTGGGTTTTGATCTTGCATGAAGAGCTGTCATTCACTTATCAAATGTGTGTGTACAGTCTCCAAATTTTCCTACATTACATCATTCTTTATTTTAGCCCTTCAGTAGTGAGGACAGGCATATCTGTCAGTGTGAATTTGCTCTTCAAACAGATGTAGAATGATGAATGTGTCATTAAAAATAGCTCTTCGGGGGCATGCCACGCTCTGAGCCTTTCCCATTTCTCTTCTGTCTTGGACCTGTCTCACCTCCTTTTCATCCTTCACATATCACTTAAATATTACTTCCTCTGAAAAGCTTCCCTTCACCGGTTCCTGGGCAGAGGTTGGGGTTCTTGCTGTCTGTTCCTATGTATTAGCATCACACTTCCTGTATCGGATTATCATTGTTGGGGCGCCTGGCTGGCTAAGTCCTTAGGGGAGGGAGTGTGACTCTTGATCTCAGGGTCATGAGTTCAAGCCCCCATGTTAGGTGTGGAGCTTACTTAAAAAACAACAACATATCACAACGTTATTATCACACTTTGTTGTTGCCTGTTTGGTCTCTCAGAGTTTAAATTACATGTGGGTAGATACTGTGTTTTGCTTACCGTTCTTTTTGTAGCACGGTGTCCAGCACATGTTTAGATCTATAAATGAATGGAAGAATTAGTTCATTACTAGTTTGGTGAGATTTACAATGACAGATTTCTCCAGCTAGTAAGTGGCTTTGAGGTTCTTCGGGAATAAGCTTCTGAATAGAACTCTAACAAATCAGTAATTTTTGCCACCTGAGAGTTTTCCTTGAGGGCCACTTCCTGAAACTTGGAGTATTCTGAAACTGAAAATGAGACTAATAATACTTTGATCATTTTGATTACCTGCCTAAATGATACTACTCTATTAGGACTCTGTCCTGATCCAAGAACAGAAAGATCTTAAGTTGTTAAGAGATAAACTCCAAATACAGTGACTTGTTTTTTCCCCCATGAAAACAGAGAGAGTTACTAAAGTTGGTGAGATTCACGTGAAGACATTAGAAGAAATTCTTCTTGAAAAAGCTAGTCAGAAACGTGGAGAATTACAACCTAAACTCAAGACAGACGGACCTTCAAAAGTCGATGATTCTACTTTAGGAACAAGAAGCCCCTCCACTATCCGAATCAAAACCTTCTCTGAGGTCTTGGCAGAAAAGAAACATCGGCAGCAGGAAGCAGAGAGACAAAAAAACAAAAAGGATGTAACTTGCATCAAGCTGAAGGCCGACAGCGAAATTAAAAAAATGGTGGTTTTGCCACCTCTAGTCATCAGCAAAGTAACGTCGGAGGAGCCCGCAGGGAGAACCAAGTCCATGCAGGAAGTGCACATCAAGACGCTGGAGGAGATTAAACAGGAGAAGGCGCTGCGCGGGCAGCAGAGCTCAGAGAGCAGCAGCGGTTCCCAGCAGCAACCCGAGGCCACCCCCGGTGCAAGGCGGCTTCTCCGAATCACAAAAAAACCAGGTAAGGACACAGTTCGGTCTGTGGCGCCATTTCCCCATTTCCCCAAGTCGTGTGTCAGAGGGCGGTGGTGCGCGCTGTGTTCGTAGGAGTTCTGCCAGAACTGTACTCGGATAACTTTGAAGACCACTGGATCCGATGAAGTTAAGCTGTTTCTTTACAGGAGCGCTCTGTAGACCTTTGATATTTTAACAGGCATTTCTAAGCTTTATGAGGACGATGGGCTTTATCTACAATTTTAGTTGTCCTATCTTATCTTTATTTTTATGAAGAAAAGTTTTGCTTTAATCTGTTACTGAAGTTGCAGCCTAAGTGAGAGAATTGATGATGTGTTTAATGTGAATATAGGTATAAAAGAAGAGAAGAAACTTCAAGAGGGAAGTGAAGTGGTTTCTCAGAGCACTGTTACTAGAACAGAGGCTAAAGAGGTGAGTTTATTTTAGATCATTGTATAGTTTTGTTCATGGCAAGCAAAGGCCAAATGAATGGTAAAATGTGCCTTTTAGTTTTAGCATAATTTCTGTGTAACATTTCACTGATAAGTTAGGGAAACAAGCTTTCACTGTGCTTATAATTTTCTGTGAGAGTTTTCTGTACTTCCGTGTATCTCCGTGTTCTCTACCCCTTTAAAGTTGTTTTTAATTGGCCGCTTAATATTTTTTTAATGTTTATTTTGAGAGAGAGAGTGTGGGAGAGCTCACACAAGCGGGGGAGGTGGGGCGGGTAGACGATCTGACACTGGCTCCATGCTGAAAGCAGAGAGCCTAATGAGGGGCTCTCACTCATGAACTGTAAGATCACGACCTGAGCCAAAGTCGGATGCTTGACCAACAGAGCCACATGCACCCCCATTTAATATTTAAAAAAAAATTTTTTTAATGTTTATTTTTGAGAGAGAGAGTGTGTGATCTGGGGAGGGGCAGAGAGAGAGAGAGAGAGAGAGAGAGAGAGAGAGAGAGAGAAATAGAATCTGAAGCAGGCTCCAGGCTCTGAGCTGTCAGCACAGAGCCCGGTGCAGGGCTCGAACCCACAAACCATGAGATCATGACCTGAACCGAAGTCGGGCGCCTAACTGACTGAGCCACCCATTTAATATTTTTTAAATTAAGCATAACATCACCCATTGTACAAAACTTGGGAACTTTTATTTTTTTAATAAAGAATAATGCTTATAATTCCACAACTCAGATGTAGTAACCATTAGGTTTCTTCATGGATTTCTTGCAAGCCTTTTGTTTATATACACATGTATATGTGAACTTGTTCGGTGTTTAACTCATGTTTAGAAAATGGTTGAGGGGCTCCTGGGTGGCTCAGTTGGTTAAGCATCTGACTCTTGATTTTGGCTCAGGTCACATGATCTCACAGTTTATGGGTCTGAGCCCCGCATTGGACTGACAGCACAGAACTTGCTTGGAATTCTCTGTCTCTCTCTCTGTCTCTGTCTCTCTCTCTCTCTCTCTGTCTCTCTTGCCCGTCCCCCACTCTCTCTGTTTCTCAAAAATAAACATTAAAAAAATAAAGTAATTGAGAACTCTACAGTGTATCATTTTGCAGCCTGCTTTAATTATGCTGTATTCATAATTCTTCAAGACATTAGTTGGCCACATAATGTTCCATTATGTCAATATAGTCTGTTTCTGGACATGTAGATGTAGTTTTATACAGTTGAGAGGATGAATATCATTGAACATAAATCTTTGTGCCAGTGTCTGATTAGGAGGCGTTTGTAGTTGACTTAGGGTCAAGATCATCTATCCTATAACATTGGGGTTTTTGTTGTTCCGCACATTTTTTTTTTTTAATGTTTGTTCATTTTGAGAAAGAGCATGCAGACATATGCACGGGGGAGGGACAGAGGGGGAGAGAGAGAATCCCAATCAGGTTCCGTGCTGTCAGCACAGAGTCCGATGCAGGGCCTAGTCCCACCAATCAGGAAATCATGACCTGAGTGGAAATCAAGAGTCGGTCGCTTAACTGACTGAGCCACCCAGGTGCCCCTTGTTCCATGTATCTTTAACGTTCATCTTCAGCTTGGCATTTTCCGTTTAATATCAGCTCTTGTGTTCTAGATCACGTCAAACTCTGCTAGACTTAGAGGTCAGCCTAGTAACTTATAAATAAGATTTTCTTAATGGAAATAAAATTGACATAGTATTATATTAGTTTCAGCTTTAGTTTTTTTCTTTGAAACAAGTTTTTTGTTTTGTTTTTCTTAAAGATTTAAATTTTGGGGTGCCTGGGTGGCTCAGTTGGATCTGGCTCTTGGGCATGAGTTCAAGCCTCATGTTGGGCTCTGTGCTGGGTGTGAAGCCTACTTTTAGATAGATAGATAGATAGATAGATAAAGATTTTATTTTTAAGTAACCTGTATACCCAATGTGGGGCTCAAACTCACAGCCCTGAGATCAAGAGTTGCATGTTCTACTAGCTGAGCCAGCCAGGTGCCCTAAGTTTTTTGGTTTTTGTTTTTGTTTTTGTTTTTGAGATCTAAAGAAAGCCTGGTAACTTACAAATAATAATTATCGTACAGATTGTTGGGGGTACTAAGTTTTCAAATCTGTCATTTAAATTTATCCACAGGCTTCAGAAGAGACCACAGGAGTTGGCATCCCTAAAATTCAAGCCAAGAGATGTGAGACCATGAGAGAGAAGCACATGCAGAAACAATTGGAGAGGGGAACGACGCAGAAGGAAAAATCAGTTTTGACACCCCTTCGGGGAGATGTAGACTCCTGCAACACTCAGATAGCAGAGAAGGCCCTGCTCGCGGCTGCGCCAGGCATCACACGGCACCTGACAAAGCGGCTGCCCACAAAGTCGTCCCAAAAAGCAGAGGTAGAAACCTCAGGAATTGGGGACTCAATATTGAATGTGAAATGTGCAGCACAGACCTTGGAAAAAAGGGGTAAAGGTGAGTGGTTTTGCTAAAGTGTGTTGCTTTAGGATTTCACAATTGCCGAGTCTAGTAACTCCTGGCAACAGTTGAGTCAGATTCCGGTTGTGTTGTATGCTGGTCACGCAGGTGGAGAGTAGGATTTTTGATAATTCTATTTAAAATAAAGACAAAACTAGACGAGTTCCTTTCTCAGAATTTAAAGTTGCTGTTAGAGGTGCCTGACTCAGTCGGTTGAGCGGTCGACTTCGACTCAGGCCGTGATCTCACGGGCTGTGGGTTCGAGCCCCACATTGGGCTCCATGCTGACAGCGCAGAGTCTGCTTGAGATTCTCTCTCTCTCAAAATCAGTTAATAAACTGAAAAAAAAAAAAAAAAGCAGAGAAAGAGCTTTGTCTAAAGCTCGCTTCGGCAGCACGTAACTAAAATTGGGACGCTGCAGAGTAGACTATCATGGCCCCCAGGCAAGGATGGCATGCAGATTCGTGAAGGATTGCATATTTTTATTTTTATTTATTTTTTTATTTTTTTTAATTTGTGTTTTAACGTTTATTTATTTTTGAGACAGGGAGAGACAGAGCATGAACGGGGGAGGGGCAGAGAGAGAGGGAGACAGAATCGGAAGCAGGCTCCAGGTTCTGAGCCATCAGCCCAGAGCCCGACGCGGGGCTCGAACTCACGGACCCTGAGATCGTGACCTGAGCTGAAGTCGGACGCTTAACCGACTGAGCCACCCAGGCGCCCCGGATTGCATATTTTTAAACAAGTCATGGGACGTAACGTACCATGGTTAACTACTACTGTGTTGCAGGGGCACCTGGGTGGCTCAGGTGACTAAGCGTCCAACTTCAGCTCAGGTCATGATCTCACGATTCATGGGTTCGAGCCCCGCAAAGGGCTCCCTGCTGACAGCCTGGAGCTGGCTTCAGGTTCTGTGTCTCCGTCTCTCTCCGCCCCTCCCCCACTTTTACTCTCTCTCTTAAAAAATGAATAAACGTTAGAAAACAAAATTTAAAAAAAACAACAACCGTATTGCATATTTGAAAGTTGCTAGGAGAGTAGATCCTAAAAGTTCTCACACACAAAAAATTGTAACTGTGTATGTACTAAGTAGACTTAACCGTGGCCGTCATCCGATCACAGTATATTGAATCATTATGTTGTATGACTTAAGCTAATATAATGTTAATATGTCAGCTACATCTCCCTGGGGGAAAAAGCTTTCTGTGGTGCATCTTTCCTCTGGTTTTGAAGAAGGAAAACACCAGGGAATGGAAGAACAGCAAATTCAAGAGCCACTGGAAGGGATTATTTGAGTATACATCTACATTATGCCCACATGTATAGTGCAGATCGTTCATGGATTGTTTTCATTTTTGGGGGGTGTGTGTTATTTCCAGTATTGTGAAGGAAGGTCGATATTCTCAATTATTCTCCATGTGAAAGAGGAATTATTCTAGCTCTTAATCCGATATTTTCTGTCCCTTGTAGCTAAACCCAAAGTCAACGTGAAGCCATCTGTTGTTAAAGTGGTCTCATCCCCTAAGTTGGCCCCCAAACGCAAGGCGGCGGAGGTGCACCCTGCTGTCATTGCAGCTGTGAAGCCACTCGGCTCCAGCAGCGTCCTACAGGAAAGCCCCACCAGGAAAGCAGCTGTGGTAAGCGTAGATGCAACTAGATGCTGCTGTGAGCGGTGTGGGAGGAAAGCCGGGAGAGGAGCTCTGCCAGCTCCCTGCCTCTGGGCCGCTTCTGCCGTTGCCTCCGCATCTTGGTAGTTTAGGTTGTTACCGTAGTCTCCATGTACAAGCACACCTTTGTGGGGTGGCAGAATGGGATTTTTTTTTTAAAGCAAATTCTTGGGCAGCAAGATATTTTGCCTGTTTCGGCACTCAATCTTGGGACTGTTTATTCTTGGATTTCCAGAATAATAACCAAGATTCTGAGAAAGTGGCAAAAGAACATGAGTATGTTCAAATAAAAAAAGCCTACCTCCCACTGAATCGCCTTACTTTTCCTTTTGTAGGCTGTCGTCCCACTCCTCTCTGAGGACAAGTCAGTCGCTCTGCCTGAGACAGAAAAACCCAGAGACAGGTAGGTAATACTTGCGATTCTTCCTAAGCAGACTTCAGGCCGCTCTTCTTATTTATGCTCTGGAGAATAACACTGCTTAATAAACATTTGAACATTGCCGATTTGGCCACGTCTAAGTAAATGTAAGCTTCCAGTTAATCGGAAGAAAACATGATACTCGGGGTTGCTGTTCTCCTTTGGTGCCATTGTTTATATATTGACTGTATTTTTTTTTTTTTTTGATGTTTTAAATATCTGTTTGAATTCCGCTTCTTTAAAGGATGAAAATGCTTTGTCCTAAATCAGTAAAACAGTTCTGTGTTACGTTTTTTATCAGAAACAGCTCTTTGCTAACTCTTTGTGTTCCTGAGACATTCAGTGGGTGGGGCCATTGAATGGTGGGACCATTCAGCCAACCACTGACAAGGCAGTTTTCTAATAATCTTTTGGGTTTTTTTCTTACAGTCTTGCGCTGCCTCCGGTCCAGTCCTCTTCCGATCCCTCCCCACCGGAAGTATCTGGCCCTTCTTCATCCCAGGTGGCTACGAAAACTCGCCGACTCAGCTCTGCCTCAACAGGAAAGCCCCCGCTTTCAGTGGAGGATGATTTTGAGAAACTAATATGGGAGATTTCAGGAGGCAAATTAGAAGCTGAGATTGACTTGGATCCTGGGAAAGATGAAGATGACCTTCTGCTTGAGCTGTCAGAGATGATCGATAGCTGAAGGCGGTAGAACACTTAAAACAAAAAAAAAACACAAAAAAACAAAAAACTGGACTTAGTTTCATCTATCATAACATTTACCCAAGATGATCATTTCTTTAGTCTAGAATTTGCCCCGTATCAGAAGTATACCTCCGAATTACCTGTCCTGGATTCCTTGGGGTCAGATTTTTAAAGTCCCTTGATAACCATTGTCCATTCGATGCCATTGTCTAGCATCTATAAGAAAAATGTCTTGTCTTACACCTCTCCACAAAAAAACTGAGAGGGAGATCCAAGTCGAAGGGTGCGAGAGAACTTAGTGACTCCTTGAGGTGTTTGTCAGTTTGGGCTTTTTTCCCCTTTGCTGTATATTTCTTTTATGTCTTGTCTTAATGTACTTAATGTTACCTGAGTTTGAAAAGGATGAAGACAGCTGCTGCCATTAAGGACCAAATTTCACACTACCACTAAACAAAAAACCCACTCAGTCTGTGTTAAATTGTATGTCTTTTTAAAGGTATTTGGAGATCCAACTAAGCTTTAGAGAGGGCTGAGCAGCTCAGAAAGCTTGTAATCTGGACATAACTTTTTCAACCTGATTTTCATGCTTCTGCTGCTCTGTAAGCCTCTAAAGAGCAATAGCTAATTTATTATTACTGTAATTTTTTAAGGCTTTAAAGTGCCTCAGGGGTCCTCTGAAACTAATTTTCTATTTCTGGGATTCCCTGGATTCTTAACAAGAGATGGTGACAGAATGATTAGAGGAATTCTTTTTTTAGCATGAAAGTTGTCCCTTCTCTTCTTCAGTACTTGCCTCCTACTGGCATTGAATTATCACAGGGATAAAAATTGGTTAATTTTTTATTTCTAACTCTCCCAGCAAACTCGTCTCGCCCAGTATTTATTTGGTACTCATTAACCGCCAGGGGGAAAAAAAATGGAACTCCTCCAAGCTGCCAATATTTATCTACGAACTGTAGCAGTGTGCCGAACCGTACTGTAGCAGGGATTATTGAGATGACTGGGGGTGTATTGTATACCTTCCAGTTCTCTTCATTTCGGAATTGAATTTTCTTTTCTTGATGTCGGTCTCCTTCGTATCACCTCAAGGTTTAGACGTGTGAAGGAACAAGCGTGATGGGGAGAAGAGTCTTAAGAGGAGACATGTTGTACATAATCGGAAGGAAGAGGAAAGGAGGACTTGTCCATTTTGATACTTTGCTGTGGGTGGCCAGTTTGTTTCTCATAGGGAAATCTGACCCACCTGTCGTGTTGGCTCCTAAGGAACTGCTGTTGTAAGCGGCTCATCGAGAGTTGAACTTCATGTAGCCTTGTTGGGAATATGGAAAAGGAAGAAAGCCACAGGACTGCCCATTCAGTCTTGGGAAGATCTGGATGATTCTGCACAAGCAAAAATGACTTGAAACTTATGTATAGACACCTCTCTACCAATCCTTCTTCAGCTGACTGAATGTTGTATAATAGCCCTTCTCCAAAGCAGGGGTGGAATGTTCTGGTTTCACCACAGATTTTCTACTCATTTCATTTTTGGAATCAGCTTAAAGATTCCAGGTCCCTTTTGTATATAACCTTTATTCTTTTGCTTTTTTAAAAATAATTTTGTTTCATATTTAAAGTCCTTGTATTAGTCAGTGATTCATGTTCAGCATTATTTGAACCATTTGCCATTACAAGAAAGAGAAATACTTATTTGTGTTTTAAATAAAGCCGGTGTAGGAAAGTCTGGACTTTGTGAGTCAAGCGGTCATACGTCACTTCAGCCTAGGGTCTGTCTCGACAGGGTCCCCAGTCACAACGTCGTTGGCCTCTTGTTTAAATGCTCCAATTTCACAGATGACTGTGTTGCTTTAGAAAACTCTCACAAGGACGTATTGCCAAACTTCCCCACAAGCATGCTCAGTTTTAGCTGCATAGGGTTTCCCAACATTAATTGAATTGAGTTCCATTATCATTGTAACTCAAATAATGCCGTTTGTTTTTTTTTAAAGAGAGGGTTTGGAAATGATCTTAAATGGGTTCCATTAAGAATTTTCGAGCATGAGAAAAAAATTTTTTTCAAGCATGAGGTCCTAAAAGTTTCAGACAAGTTTTTTCATATAATATGCCAATTTTTTGGTCAAGGGAATACCCAAAGTTTGTTACCAGAGAACATAGATTTTTTTCTAATAGTCTAAAAGTAGTTCCAACAAGTCCAATCAACTTTTCACAAATAGCAAACAGATTGTGTGTTGAGGTTCGAGTGATGATGGTTTGCAGTTTTAACAGAAGAGGGCCCAAATGTTGCAGAGTTTGGCCACAGCCAGAAATTTCAAGATGGGCCCCACCCATCTGACTTCATTTAACCTTAATTACCCCATTAAGGGCCTGTCTCCAACTACGGTCACATTCTGAGCTGCCGTTGGGGAGTGGGTGGAGCTTCAACATAGGAGTTTCAGGGGGCACGCTTCAGCCCGTGACAAAAGGCATAAAATAAGTGGCCAGATGAATGAAAAAGCTCTTGAGCTGTATCAGGGGCTGCTGATCTTTGCTAGACTGCCCCTGGCTTTGCAACCCCACTCTTAGGAATGCTCACTCGTCCTAGTCATTCAGCAAGCTGTGAGGCTTCTGGTGGAGACGTAGGGAAGTTGAGCTGAGAGGAAGGATGCTGTTGACTATTGAGGCCTGGAGCTGACTTCACTCGGTGTGTTTCTCTGGACCAGTGTTTCTCAAGCCCACTTTGCAGACACTTGGGGAGCGTTGTGAAAATCTTAGCGTTTTCCAACATTACGATTAGCTGTAATTGAAAACATTAGTTGTAATTTAAAAAGGGAAACAGGTTTCATAGTACTTTCCACTATTTAATGAATTGATGGAGTTGGTGATACAGTTGACCCTTGGACAACACTGGTTTGAACTGCACAGGCCCACTTATACGTGCATTTTTTTTTTTTTTTTTTTTTTTTGAGTTGACAGCGAAAGCTACGTGGCATTTATTTACAGATGCCCACCCCGGTCTTCAAGGGACCCATGAGAAGGCCACTGATGCAGAGATTGAACCTGCTGCCCTTCCTGGGGAGGCCTCCGGGGCCCTCCGTGGCCTCGGGGAGCCCCAGAACTGGGCAGGGTGGCTGGTCGCCCTGCGTCCCTACAAGGTAGTCAGGTTGAGCAGGGGGCCGCTAGCAGGCAGGAGGCTGGGCTGAGGCAGAGGCCCAAAGGGCAAGGATGTTACTGCATAGGAGCCCTGACCACAGAGTCCTCTGTGCACTGGGCTCGGGGAGGCAGCTGCTGGTGGCCACGGGTCCGTGGTACACACCTCCAGGCGGTTGGGGCAGATGTATTGTGCACTCAGGCCCTTTTGGCCACCCACAGGCCCCCCACCCCACCCAACCACCACCGCCAGTGGCTACCCCTGTAAACCAAGGCCACCAGGCTGCAGAATATCACTATACCGAGGCCAGCCTGCCACCACCCTATCCCCTTCTAGCCTAGCCAGCCTATACTCTGGGTTTTCTCAGTGAATGTATGCACAGTACTGTAAGTGTATTTTCTCTTTCTGGTGACTTTCTTCTTTTTTTCTTTCTTACAACTTGCTGAACATCTCCTTTTCTCCAGCTTATTTTAAGAATTCAGTATATAATACATAAAACAGAGAACATATGTGTTAATAGACTGTTCACGTTATCAGCAAAGCTTCCCGTCGACAGCAGGCTACTAGTAGTTAAGCTTCAGGGGAGTAAAAAGTTATACACAGAGTTTTCACTGCACAGTGGGGCTGAGGTGTTGGCACCTCTAACTCTGACATTGTTCAAGTATCAACTGTATATCCATTTACAATTACCAAAATTGAAAACATATTAAGGGTATACAATAAAAAATTCTCCTTCCTACTCCTGCCCCAGCTACCCAGTTCTCCTCCAAAACCAACGTTATCATTTGGTATTCTTCCAGAGAGATCTTAGGGGTATATATATATATATATATATATGCAAATATATATATGCAAATACATTTACATACAGTATCACAGTATCGTTTAAATCCATGATCTGCACCTTATTATATTTTTTCCTATGAAGTTTTAAATTATGAATTACAAATTCGTGACAAATCCTGTTTCATCTACGCCCATACCCACTATCCACCCCTTATTCTGGGCCCCAGGGCTGAGACTAAGATGAGGCAGGTAAGGTGCCTGGGCGCAATTTAAGGAGGTGCTCGCTCCCAGGGTTATATTTGCATGTGTGAGTGTGAATCCTTAAATGTTTCTCCTTAGGGGCACCTGGCTCCCTCGGTTGGTAGAGCATGTGACTCTTGATCTTGGGGTTGTTTGAGCCCCACATTGAGGGCAGTGTTTACAAAATAATAATAATAATAATAATAATAATTGATTACTTTTGCTCCTTAGGCTTACCCCATCTGAGATTCAGCTCTGCTCACTCCATGGGATTATCATTTTTCTTTAATGTTTATTTTTGAGAGGGAGTGAGAGAGCGAGTGCAGAAGGGGCAGAGAGAGAGGGAGCGAGAGAATCCCAAGCGGGCTCTGTCCTGTCAACCCAGAGCCAGACGCAGGGCTCAAACCCACGAACCGCAAGATCATGACCTGAGCCGAAACCAAGAGTCAGACGCCGAACCAACTGAGCCACCCAGGAGCCCCCGTGGAATTATTTTGAAATAAATCTCAGATATACCATAGCCTGATTTTTCTCTTTACTGTATATGGGGTACCATTTCATATCAGGACACAAGGAGCTTCTTCGATCTTAATTACAGTTGCATAGTATCATACTATATGAATATGCAGTGATTGAGATACTCCCTGTTGATAGACATGATGCTGCTGTGGTTACATTATATCACACATGTAAGTTTATCTATAGGATTAAATACCTAATAGTGCAGCTTAATGATTGCCATTACCACCACTCTTTGATCTTTGTCTATGCTTCTCAGGGGAAATTAGTGTGCATATCTCATAATGAGTGAAGTTGGGCATCTTTTCATATGTGGGAAGATCATCTGTATTTCCTTTACTATAAACTAATTGTTCACTTCTGCCAATTTGTATTTTGGATCTTTGGGTCAGATTGGGGCTGCAAATTCTTTAGCCTTTAACAGAAGTGGGTTCTATTTTTCCAGCCCTTGAACCTGACTAGGGGTGTGGACCATAAACTCGTTCCGGGTCTGGCCTTTAAAAGATACTGTTGGCTTCAGCCTTGGTTTTTTTAGAGGCCTGAATCCTCATGTGAGAAAGCATCCTACTCTGCTAGGGATGCCTGGGTGGCTTAGTTTGTTAGGCATCTGACTTGATTTTGGCTTAGTTCGTGATCTCACAGTTTTTGAGACTGTGAGCCCTTGTCGGGCTCTGCACTGAGCATGAAGCCTGCTTGGGGTTCTCTCTCTCTCCCTCTGTCCCTCCCCCACTCATGCTTTCTCCCTCTCCCTCTCTCAAAATCAATAAATAAACTTTATTTAATTTTTTTTTTAATGTTTATTTATTTTTGAGACTGAGAGAGACAGAGCATGAGCAGGGAAGGGGCAGAGAGAGAGGGAGACACAGAATCCGAAGCAGGCTCCAGGCTCTGAACTGTCAGCACAGAGCCAGACATGGGGCTCGAGCTCACAGACTGTGAGATCATGACCTGAGCCAAAGTCAGACGCTTAACTGACTGAGCCACCCAGGCGCCCCAAATAAACTTTATTTAAAAAAAGAAAAGGAAAGAAAAGAAAAGCAAAGAAAGCATCTAGTCTGCTAGAGAGACCATGTATGAGGCCCCGAGGCTACACAGACATGGAGGGGACCCAAGTGAGGCCAGCTTTCCAAATACACACGCCAAGCCCTTGAATACGTCTGTCTTCTGAAGCAAAAAAGTTGCCCAGCTGAGCAATGCCCAAATTCTTAACTCACAAAATCATGAAATGTAACAATACTTGTTGTTTTAAGGTACTATTTGAAATCGTTCACAGCAATAGAGAACCAGAGGAGCATTTTTAAAAAGTTCTTTATATACTAATAAAACTAGCCATTAGTTTGATGTGGTGCAAACATACTTTTCCCAGATCTTTTGACTTTGCTTCTTACGGTGGCTTTTTAGTCACCCAAAACTTCATGTAATTTTCATGTAATTGAATCTATCACTTTTTCTTCTAAAACCCTGCTAGAGCATACAAGCAAGGAAAAGGCAATTGTTAAGTACAAGAAAGAGGAAATATCTATGATTACACCAGATAAGCTAGCAAGAAGGAACTAAAAAGTTTACTGGAAAATTCTCAAAAACTCAAAAGGAAAATTTAAACGAATAGCCATCAGGTACTTAGTTTTAAAAAACTGATTCTATGTTGTTCTCAAGTTTATTGTAAAAGGATTCTTTTAATCAGATAAGCTAATTCTAAAGTTTATAAGAAACAAACAAGAATAGCTAACAAAGTTCTACTGACTTTAGTCCTAGCAAATAAACATCATACAATACTTGCAACAGTGACACTGGCCCATAAATAGACACAAAGATCAATTGAGCAAAATATAAACTACACACACACACACACACACACACACACACACACACACACTTGGTATATTATAAACGTGGCATTTAATTTTTTTTTAATTTTTTTTTTAACGTTTATTTTTGAGACAGAGAGAGACAGAGCATGAACGGGGGAGGGGCAGAGAGAGAGGGAGACACAGAATCTGAAGCAGGCTCCAGGCTCTGAGCCATCAGCCCAGAGCCCGACACGGGGCTCGAACT